TTAGACATAAAAATCAATTCAAAATGACAACTTAAGACCTGAAACTGTAGAACTCCTAGGGAAAAAAACAGGTAAATGCTTCATGATGTCAGTCTTGGCAATGATTTCTTGGATATGACACAAAAGCGCCGCCAACAAAAGCAAAAATAGATACATGGGACTACATAAGACTAAAGAGCTTTGGCACAGCAAAGGAAATTATTAACAGAGTGGAAAGGCAACCTATGGAATGGGAGAAAATATTTATAAACCACATGTCTGATATAGGGTTAATATCCAAAATATGTAAGGAACTCCTACAACTCAACAACAAAAAATAACCTAATTTAAAAATGGGCAAAGGACTTGAATAGACATTTCTCCAAAGAAGACATGCAAATGGCCAGCAGGTTTATGAAAAGATATTCAACATCACTAATCATCTGGGAAATGCCAGTTAAAACCACAGTTAGATATTCTCTCACACCTGGTAGGACGGCTATTATAAAAAACAAAAAAACCCAAAAGATAACAAATATTGATGAGGGTGTAGAGAAATTGGAACTCTTATACACTATCAATGGGAATATAAAATGGTGCAGGCACTATGGAAAATGGTATGAAGATTCTTCAAAGTGTTAAAAATAGAACTACCACATGATCTAGCAATTCCACTTCTGGGTATTTATCTGAAAGAATTGAAATCAGGATCTCGAAGAGATGTTTGCATTTCCATGTTTATTGCAGCATTATTCACAATAGCTAAGATGTGGAAACAATCTAAATCTGTCAACAGATGAATGAATGAAGAAATGTGATGCACACATGCAATGGAATATTATTCGACCTTAAAAAAGAGGAAATTCTGCCACAGTGACAACATGAATGATCTTGGAGACCGTTATGCTAAGTTGAAATAAGCTAGTCACAGAAGGACAAATACTGCATGGTTTCACTTATAAGAAGTATCTAAAATAGCTAAACTCATAAGAGCAAGGAGTAGGATGGTAGTTGCCAGGGGCTGGGGGTAGGGGGACATGGGGAATTGGGGTTCAATTGGTATAAAGTGTCAGTTATGCAAGATGAATAAATTCTAGTGATCTGCTCTACGATATTCTGCCTATAGTTGACCATACTATGTTGTGCATTTAAAATTTTAAGAGGGTAGATACATTAAATGTTGCTACAGTTAAAAAAAGATACTATAAACTGTTGAAGAATGCTCAGTAGAATGTGTGTGGCAATTTAGGTACATTTTGTTTTTGTCTAGAATTTTGTTTGCTTGTTTACCGTAAACAGTAAGCAATCTGTGAGACCGTTGCCTCTCGTGTGGTCCTTCTTGTAACCAGGGCTGGATTTGTGCCAGCGTACAATGGGATTCTGACATGTGTTAACATTTGAGAGGTGTGCAAAGGACCGAAACTTGACAATATCTTCCTCGTTGCCTTGAAATTCCCAAGTTTATCATTCCTTTGAGATAAGGTTCTTATTTACGTCACATGGTTTCCAGATAATCATTGATATATTGACATGTAGCACAGATGAAATAACCTTATCAGCTAGCAGAGACCAAATACATTTTTTTTTTTTTTGTATTTTGGGGATTAGTATTGGATCCAAATGAAGAGTGACATAATGACACTAAGAGATTTGTGGTGGGGAAGAAGGGGATGGGAAGGAAGGGCTTCAGAAAAGAGAGGACTGCAGTGGAAATACCAACAGCCAAGTTTTCATCTGTGTTTGGGGCAGCCCTTCCCGTACTCATGGCAAGTATTTATACCACGATTGACAATCCTTAAGGAGAAAAGCTAAGGTCATGAAACAAAGCTCTTTTTTCTTTTCTTTTCCCTCCTCCCCCACCTTGTCTGTCATTCCTTTTTCTTTCTGTAGAAGCTAGCCATGATGTATAAATATTGTGCCTGTCACCCGGGCCTCATTGAAGGGCCATCCTCTAAGCAGTTGGCACTCAGTGCCAGGTACTGTGAATGTGCTTGCGGGGAACTGTCTACCAGTGGAAAATAGGAAACTAAATGTCCTGATCGGTAAAGTGAGGGCATCAGGCCAAGTGGTCAATAATGATTGCTTTACTTAAGCTTCTGTATTTGTGTAGCATTTATATGTATGTAAATACTTTCACTTTTTCCTCTGATCTCTGAGGAAGTGTGTTAAGTTTGAATTTGTCACAATTTCCCAGAGTGACTCTTAGTTGAAATGTCACTGACAGTTTGCGGTTTGGATTTTTTTTTTTTCTTTTCTTCCAAACTCCAGTCAGAAACAAGTAGAAGCCATTAAACAACTGCAAGAAGATGCTGTCAACCAGGAAGCCCTCCTCAGGAAGCAGCTCCAGGAAGCCAGCCAACGGCTGGAAGTGGCAGAGGAGCAGGTAGGGTGGCCCTTGACTGCGCTGTATTCAGGAGAGGTCTCTTCAGATGTCCTTAAAGCCATGAAGTAAAAATGGAGGAGGAACAAAAAAAAAAAAAAAAAAAACAAAGAGGAACTGTGAAGTTCAGTCCCTAGCGACAAGCAGTGAGCGGAGGAAGTGAAGGGGGAGTTGTAAAAGAGGCGGTGTCAGAAGCCTGCTGATGAAAGAGGTAACTTGCAGAAGGAGGCAACTTGACATATGAGGGCTTCTACTGCTGTAGAAATAGCTCAGGCACACCAAGCCCATGCAAACAAGGAATTGCAGAAGTTCAGTAGAGGCTTATCACTTCTCTGAGAAGAAAAGCACATTTTCAGTTTCATGTGCATGAGAGTGAGAGCTCATTGCTTGCTTTCCTGGCCAGACTGCTAAGATCCAGTGTTAACTATATGTATCCAGGTTAAGGATCGAGACCAGGCAGCCCACTCTGCCAATAAAAAAGCTGAGTCTTTACAGCATAAATTGGAGGAAGCAATTTCGGAACAACGGAACCTCCAAACTATAAATACTGAATTATCGAATGCTTGCCAGACACTTGAGCGGCAGACAAGAAGACTGAAAAGTGAGTAGCAGATATTCGTTTGCGTCCTAGTTCTGTCCATCCTGAGGTGGGGCATAAGAGCTACAGCCATTTTTCTAGATTACAGCTGCTGTGTTCTTGCTGAATTTATGATGACAGTGAAATGAAAAGGTGGTTGAGGGGCTTTTTGAGAGGTTTGCTTAGTGGCTAGGTACATGGATTTAACCATTCACTTTCCTTTTTGGTTGTTTGTTATGAGCTGGATTTGCCTGTGACTGTTTTTTCTTTTAAAATTAAATACAACTTCTCAATATCTCTAAAAGTAAACAGGGAGAAAAATCTTGAATGCATGAGGTATTTGAACTTGCAAATTGTATACATAATCTACCATGGTTTTATTTGCTAGTTTTTACCTATCATATGGTAGAAAAGACCCTGCTTCTCTATTTTCTAAGTGATAATGTTAGGGAATTGGGCAAAATAATTATGAATTCAATGTATATCAAGATATTAAATACATGTGAAAATTCTTTATGAATTTTAATGCATTCTTTACATACATATTTTGCATTAAACTTGGTAATATTTGTCATTTTTCTGTATTACCTAAAAGCACATATGTGTTTACTAAGGATTTATGTGAGAAGACAGTTGTCAAATTACAGGTGTCAGATTATTTATGAACCTGTTTTATTCTAGAAACATAGTATAAAAATAAAGCTTATTTATTTAGCCGTTTATCAGACAACTGCTTTTGTTTAGCCAGCTTCTTGTTCTAGCACTATAAAAGTTCTTTTTATAGAAAGTTATTTGGTTCGAGTAATAAGTAAATATAAACTTGATATAAGCTTAAACTAAGCTAGAGATGAAAATTTTCAGACTTGTGTGTGTTTGGGATTTATTGTTCCCTTTCCACTGTTACCTGAGAAGGCTCCTTAAGAGTTTAAGGAATTCTTTAGTTTTAAAATAGCAATGGTTATTCAACATTCTATTGGTATTATTTTTAAACCTTTACGAACTTGATAGTTTTCAATAATTCTAAGTATGAGTTTATTTGGATTCACTGTCAGGCAATGTAAGACATGCTTTAAGTCACATAGTCTCTATGTTATTTTATGATTGCTCAGAGGGGCAATGGAGAAGATTCCCTTGTGATTAGAACTGCTCTTATTGAGACATGAATAATAAGCATCCAAATTTGGTTTAAGCCGTGTCCACATTTAGACACTGCTCAGAGGACTAATCTGTTGCTCTAGTTATATTTATCTTTTGGTTACATCAATATTATACCCCATAGTTTTATAAACTGTTAAGAATTTATGTCTACCCCTGCCACCATGATTTCCTTATAGTACCTTCTTGGAAAAGCCAACTTTTATAACTTATCCCAAAGTATACATTCTTGATATTATGAACTTGCTGTTGTCTTTCCAGTTTATCCTCGGGGAATAATTGGTTCAATTATTAAAAGCACAAAATGAAGGCTGCCCTGGGATGTATGCATGTATTATTGTTTGCCTGCATAAACTAGGGTGGACACTTCCTTTCCGTCTTGAGTTGCTCATAACCTGCCTGGATTTATAAAATCCCTGTTTTTTATCTTTTGCTGCCCAAAGAAGGCATACATATCAGGATTTTGTCTGTAAGACCATTTGATTATAAAGATCTTTCTAATAATGCCCTGAAAAATCAAGCTTTGGGAGAAGAGGGAAATTTAAGTAGCACATATTTCCAAAATGTTCTGTTGGGCAGATATTGCAGATAGAACCTGAATAAATGTCAACAAGGTAGGACAGTTATCACACAAACACCTCCACGCACATTCTGCTATCACCACTGCCGCTCATGCTGTTTGAATTCTGAGTCACACATTTGAATTCTGAGTCAGAGAACAAAAATATTTAAATCTATTTAGCTCTTCTGAAACTCTCTGGCTAGTTTAATAAACTCATGAAGTGTTTAAAGCAACTGCTTTCTGTTCCATCTAGCAAGCTTCATCAGCACGTTGTGTGGGGATGCAGTTGGTTTCTCTAAATGTTCAGGTCAGTGACAACATGCACAATGTTCACAAACTGGATCTAGGAAGTATTTATGACATTTGATTAGAAATCCTGAACTCGATGCTGAATAAATAATATTATTAAGTTTCTGATTGCCAACGGGACTGCACCGATTTATGAAGTAATTAGTGCGCATGCTTGCTTCCATGCAGGCTGTAATTAGAACTGAAGTTTCCTGAATGATTACTTATTTTCTTTCTTCTGCTTAATTTCATTTATATCTAAGTATCTTATTACATAGGCAATAATGAATTATAAAAGGATGTTTGCTTTAAAAAGGAAATTCAAAAAGTTTAAATCTAGGGTATACATGGAACATATTAGGTGAATCTTATGTAGAGGAAACAAAGAGTAATTGATATAATCCAAATTATCACCCCTTTGCTATCATCTCTTATTCCTATCTAACATGAAAATTTCATTGAGTCACACATTTAACAGACAATGAGGGAATTACCTTTAGGAATTATAAATATTTCCTGGGGGAGAGATCCTGAGAGCTCCTGTATGTCATAATTCCTTATTTGCACCTCATATCTGCACATGAACTTTGTAGTCTAGGGAAAGCTTTCATCTAGATGATCTCACTGAACACTCTTTTAGCTTGCTGTTCATTCTTAGCATGGAGGACATGAGGTATGGATGAAGAGGGGAGGATCAAGGTAACAGGGACCCTTAAAGATAGAAGGTACTGGGGTGAGGGGCAAGGAGAAAACCAAAGCCAAATACAGCTTGCTCAACAGCTTTGATGGGATAGAAGCCCCAAGTTTTCCCAAATGAAAAAGGCAGGTATGGATGAAATAATCTAGGAAGGATAATGTCATGAGTAAGACCACCGGATTTGAAATTAAACAAACCTGTGTTCTGGCTCAAAGTCTGCAAAAGAGCAGCTGCGGAAAATTGGGCACTTTACCCCTTTGAGCCTCTGTATCCTCTTCCAATAAATGCAGTTGTTGTGAGTTATAAATAACATAACAATGCAAAATAGTAGCTGGTGTTTCGTCACGGTTGGTACACATGTTCTGCTAGAGCACATTTCTATAACGTGAATGACCTCATTTGTGATTGGTGAATGGGGAATGTCATGTTAGTATAACATGGAGGTTATATTGTTTCATTCTTGATTTTCTTGGGATTGGGATCTGGATTGGTAGGAATATCACCTTCCACAAGAAAGGAAAAGGCCCTCAGCTTGGCTGCTGAACAGGCAACAGGAGACCTGTCAGCTTTACTGTGTGAAAATTAAAAACAAGTATTTGCACCTGGGCCTCTTCCCCCCCCCCCCCCCCCCCCC